TGGTGGTGATTTTTTTTGGGGGGGGGGGGAGTGGGGGCATGTGGGGACGTAAATTGTGCATGCCCTTTTCTATTTCTTTGTAAAAAAATGTAAATCTCATAGGAGTATTACCATGCTAAATGGCGAAAGTTGATAAATTACCTCAAATTACGGAGCGTGAGGCACGGCGTGTAAGGTGTTGGACAGATGGGGAGTTCGAAAATGAAGCCCGTCACATTGCTTTGTCATTGTGCAAGGCACTTTACTTACGTTTGCCTCTCTCCACCCAGGAGTATAAATGGGTACCTGGTAGGATGATGTGGCATTGAAAGCAATTTGTGCGTGTAAAGCGCAGAGAAAGTTGCACAAAAATGTGCTGGTTTGCCAATCCAGTGACCAGGGAAATACCAAGGAGCTTCTGAGTGTGCATAAAGTCATCTGCACATGTGAGAACGTTGAATTTTTGAGGTCACATGGATTCTAGGACGTTGTGCACAGTACGTAGGATGGTCACCCGGTCACCCAATGGGTGAATCCATTCTAGCATCAAAAGCTCCCTATTAAAGGTGCAAGCGCTTCAAGATAGATCCTTGCAATCCCAACGGAGACTCTGCCGCAATTGTTCTCGCTTACTTATACTTACATGCCCCCATCGTAGGCTGGATCTGCCCCTGCAGATGTTTATTATATGATGCTTTTAACATACAGTGCATAATATAATTACTATGACCTACGGTTGTAGGTAAAAATGGCCCTGGTAAAAATGGCCCCAAATGACAAGTAGGTAAAAATGGCCCCAATGAAAAAATTCAGTAATAGAACCGTTTAATTATGATTGTAGAACTCTCTTTTTCTTTAAAAAAATAATAATTTGATGTTCATATCAACCCATTGTTTTTTGGGGTTTACAAATACCCGGATTGAATTTCTGTAAAAATTGTGATTCCGCTCCCGTGAAATTGGCCACAAATAAATTATTTTAGTATTAATAAATGCGTGATTTATGTTGATTTATTGATTAGGCTGTTGCTGTTTTTTAACATTTAAATGGAAAAAAATAAAAAGTGTTATTCATGGCTTTTTATCTTTGAATATTTTATCATTAAATATGTAATTCCTGCAAAAAGTAAAATGTAAATGGCAATTTATTTGATGTTAGATTCCTTTTTAAAACTAAATTATTTCAGTTGAAAAAAATGCATATAATAATTTTAAAAATCGGTTTTAATACAGAATTTTATTATTGGGGCCATTTTTACCAGGGCCATTTTTACTGGGGCCATTTTTTCCTGGGGCCATTTTTTCCGGGGCCATTTTTACCGGGGCAATTCTTACCTACCGTACACCGTTCACTCCAGCTACTGAGTGTTTGATGGCTTCTGACTCGTGTAGCCACATTCTTCTGCCTTGACACTAACTGCATACTTTTGCCATGAGACATAAGCCCTCTGGTTTAGCAGTCTAACTTCACAAAGTCTTCCCAGTATTTCACTCATGGTCTTCCTCTTGGTCGGCTTACAAGGGATCCAAGTACACTATGTTGGTTTCATGTAGTTTCTTTCATGTAGTTTTCTTTCTTTTTACATGGCCATAGCAGCATAGTCTTCTTTTGGTGATTAGTTTAGTGTCATATTGCTGTAGTATATTTAATATAAATAATCTGAATTACATTTTATTGTTCCTTTCTTTTTTAAAGCAGCAGCAACAAGTGCAATTCACAAGGAAACAGAGCAAGTATCAGCTCCAGGTAGGGTTCATTATATAAATTTGAAAAATACTATTTTGTTTTTACATGTATAATTGTTTTTTTACTAATATCATGAAGAGAACTTGAAAATAATTTACAAAAGTGTTTGTAGGACCCCTGTCGACGCCCCAACAATCAAAGATACAAAACACAAGAAAATTTATTTTTTTGAAAATTAAAATTCTGCAGGATATTTTTATCAAACTTATGCAATAATATTTTGATGCTTAATGTTGATATTTTCGTAATGATAACAGGAGCTTTGTTGGTATAATAAATAAGTTGGAGAAAGTAAAAAAAAGTTGATACAAATGAAAAATATAATGTATTTTTAAAGTTCCCTTTCTTTTCTAAAGCCCAAAAAGAAGACGCTCAAGTGTCAACTCGAGGTAGGGATACCTTTATTTGTAATTGCTTTAATGGTATATTTGAAAGATGAGTAAATCATTCTATAATGTAATTACTAAGGATTTGTGTTATATTTTTTATAATAAATCATATGGAAGTTCAGTAAAGTTGAAATGCCTGTTACATCATGGCATTATTGCTACACAACATTCTACTATACCTAGTCTGTTGCCACTTAGCCTATTGGTGGTATCTGGTTTGTTGCTATATGGTTCTTTGATATCTTACACCATTTGGAACCCAGTTTTTTGTCCTCTTGTCCAGTGGCTATTGTACCTGGCCAGTTTCCACCCTATACTATTTAGCGCCAACCCAGCGGTGTATCTAGAAGCCTAGGATTGGGGGGTGCTGATGGGGGGCTGTCTCTTATACACATCTAGATGTGTATAAGAGACAGCAAAAGCTCCCTAATACAAAGTAACAATTAAATGAAAAATGATTAACAAAATTGATGTTATGATAATTGCAGGTTTTGCAGTAGATGAGTCAGTATTTCCAAGAGTGCTTCTAACAGTCTCACAGAGCATCGGTGCAGATCTTAACATATGGAAAGTGGCCCTCAAAGATGAAATTATGAATGCAAATACTGTACATAAGGCAGCAGAGGCAACTGAGCTGTTTGATGCTCTGAGGGACACTGCCAAACTAAAGGCAGATGATATAAGCATCCTGTTAGAGACCATTAAGCTCACCGGTGTACTCCGTTTGCAGAACCACATCCCCAACTGTCCACGCCTTGATAATATCAAGATCACTCACTTCTCAAAGTTCAGGCAGTCTGTGATGGCCTTTGGAATGCAACTCATTGATGATGACATCAGGTTGATTGTACAGCGTTATGAGCTTCCTGGCCAATACAGTGACAAGTGGTCACTTATAATGGACTTGGAAGATAATCTCATACTGGCAGATGATGATAAGTTTGATGATTTCAAACATGCGTTAGATAAGCTAGGACTGAGAAGACTCCGCCGACTGTTACACAGTGAACGAAGTCCTGCAAAGCCAATCGGTTTGTAATTAGTGTCTGTTTCTCATTAGAAAATTATTTGTCCCTTGTTTTAAAATAAATATTGACTACATACACAAAATAATATCCTTGTAATTGGTACAGGAGCACGTCAGCATAGCCAGTCGCTCTTGTCTGATTTGTTGCATTTGTTTTTACTCAACATTATTTTTGAATGCACTAAGTTTTATGTGATGGTATTAACTTTGATTGGTATTTACCTGTATTCATTTTAATGTTCACTTACTGATACAGATTCAGTAGCAGATTTAGAATGGTGTACGTCCCCCTCTAATTTTTGTAAATAAAATGTAAATATTATGGAACATTACCATGCTAAATACCAAAAAATGATCAAATACATCAAATTAACAAGAGTGCAAGAGCTTTAAGAAAGATCCTCACACACCAAAGCCTCTGCCCCAAGACTCTTGCCTGCTTAGTACATGCATGCCCCCTCCCTTTAACTGGCTTGATCTGCCCCTGCAGATGTTTATTACTACTGCAGATGCTTTAATATACACATGATGAGCTTCTTACTAGTCTCCAATCATTTTTAAATAAAATCAAAACATTTTTGTAATGTGTTTTTATTGGACAAAATATATGAAATGAATTGAAATGAAATATAATATAATTACTATGACCTATACATTACATGAGATTTGGGATTACATTAAAAAACTAACCAACCAATTTTAGTACACCACTTGGCTTAAGCCATTCACACCAGCTACTGGCTGTGTGATAGCTTTTCATTCCACTAAAGTGCAGGATTGGTCCTAGCATTAAATAGCATTTAAAAGCATTGTAGTAGCTGGTCATTAGCTACAGCTAATTGTAATAGCAGTCAAGCACCAATTTCACTAAATATAGCAATATCTTTGCTGTAGCTCATCAACTGTTCTGTATGTGCCATATTTGCTATTTAATCATAGTGATATTGTCTGCTATAGCTGGGTGAGCATTAAAAAGCATTAAATAGTGATTAAAATCATAGTAGTAGCTTGTCACTAGCTATAGCCTATAATAACAGTCATGTAGCACCCATTTCACAAAATGTAGCAATCACTGGGTTAATTAAAAATTTGTGATAGCTGTCAAAATGCTTTAAATGCTGTTTTAGCTATACAATGTTTGATACAGAGCTGTAGCTGCTATTCTTAATAATAATAATAATACAATACAGTTGTCACTGATAATCGTTATATTACTTTTCTGGCAGGACTGATGATAAATAGTTATTATAAAAAATTCTAATAACAAAAATTAAATATAAATAATAATAATAATAATTATAATAATAACAATAATAATTATATAGGTGTAATTTTTGCCCTACCTGACGTGGAAATGTACCGAATACTCAGTACATCGCAAGTTGTTCTTGGGTGGGACTCGAACCCTCGAACCCACGATCTCCAGATCACTAGCCTGTCATCATACCTCTAGACCACGGCGGAGCTTGCGTCTGATGGCCAGGGTTGAATTCGAGTCCAAGTAAGCAGCGGGTACTGCAATGTTGATAGTAATTGTTATTGTCGTGATGGAATATTAGACAATAACTGGATTTGCATCAGGAGAAACATGTATAGGTGTAATTTTTGCCCTACCTGACATGGAAATGTCGCAGTTGTTTTCAAACGTACTGAGTATTCGGTACATTTCCACGCCAGGTAGTGCAAAAATTACACCTATACATGTTTCTCCTGATGCAAATCCAGTTATTGTCTAATATTCCATCACGACAATAACAATTACTATCAACACTGCAGTACTCGCTGCTTACTTGGACTCGACTTCAACCCTGGCCATCAGGCGCAAGCTCGGTGGTCTAGAGGTATGATGCCAGGCTAGTGATCTGGAGATCGTGGGTTCGAGTCCCACCCGAGAACAACTTGCGATTTTTTTCGCAGTTTTGTTTTCAAAAGTACTGAGTATTCGGTACATTTCCACGTCAGGTAGGGCAAAAATTACACTTATACATGTTTCTCCAGACGCAAATCCAGTTATTGTCTTATATTCCATCACGACAATAACAATTACTATCAATAATAAATAAAATAATGACAATAATAATAATAATAATACAAATAATAATGGTAATAATTTACAGGTTTCATTCTTTTTACATGGCCATGGTACCTTAGTCTTGGTGATGAGTTCTGCGATGGTGAATTTTAATATTGTTGTGTACTGTACATTACTTATAAAATTCTAATGAACTTTATTGCTATAGAAAATATGAATAAAATGTAAAATTGTGAAAGAGTAAAGGAAGAAAAGGAAAGAGATTTGGAGCGGCTGAAATTATTTCCGAAAAATATACTGATATTATTATCATCATCGATCGCCATCACCTTAATCCTATTATCATTGTCATCAGCATAGATCATAATCACTGCAAACTATCATGAGTGGATTTCCCGTACGATTAAAAATCGTAACGGTACTGGGTTTGGTCTACAGGAGTTCGAGCTTCAAACAGGTCATTCCATTCATAGAAAAAGCCTTTTGATGGAGAAAGTGTACCTTTTTAGCAAAGGTTTGCCTAGGTCGAAACTAACTCTGGCTATATAAAATTGATTATAAGATAGTAAAATATTAAACTTGTTATTGTACTACTTAGTAGTAGTGATAAATACTATGTACACGTTTAATTATTGTTATTTATTCGTTACGTCATTATATTTACATTTAAAATTAATGTATTGTTTAAGTATGAAGTATTAGTTCATGTAAAAAATAATCTTATCAATTAAAATTGTATATTTTAAATAATATAATAGGCATAGTCGAGTTAATTGCTGAAACGCAGATAAAACATGTTTTCAATGATTTACAGCCCCTTTATACAATAATTTATAAACACCTACAACATTTTTTGCAAGCAGCATTTACACCACAACATTTATTTTTGTATTTCCAAATCAAGAAAACAAAGTGTATGCATATTTTCTGCATGCATGCTATTTAAGCATTTGTATTTATTTATATTACTTAAAATTATATTTAATATAGTAAGCTAAATGCAAAAATGAAATGAGTTGTTTCATTTAATTCCAGAACATCATCAATCAACTTGCTCGGATTGTAGCCTTTGCGGAAGTGACCAAAGTCCTGCGCGCCCAATTGGTTTGTAGTTATTATCTGTTTTGCATTAGACGATGATCTGTCCTTTTGTTTTAATTAAATACAAAACTACATACAAAATTAATTTTCTTGACACTCCCTGCATACTTTTGCCATGAGACATAAGCCCTCTGGTTTGGCAGTCTAACTTCACAAAGTCTTCCCAGCATTTGACTGGTCTTCCTCTTGGTCGGCTTCCATTTACAAGGGATCCAAGTACACTATGTTGGTTTCATGTAGTTTCTTTCATGTAGTTTTCTTTCTTTTTACATGGCCATAGTAGCATAGTCTTCTTTTGGTGATTAGTTTAGTGATGAACATTTGTGTATTTTATCCCCAGGGTCCATGTTAGTGTTGTGTACATTTCTTATAAAATTATAATGATGTCATATTGCTGTAATATATTTAATATAAATAATCTGAATTATATTTTATTGTTCCTTTCTTTTTTAAAGCAGCAGCAGCAAGTGCAATTCACAAGGAAACAGAGCAAGTATCAGCTCCAGGTAGGGATCATTATAATAATTTTAAAAATTGGGGTTTTTTTTGCTTAATATCATGAAGACAACTTGAAAATAATTTACATACATGTTTGTAGGACCCCTGTCAATGCCCCAACACTCAAAGATACAAAAAAAGATACAAAAATTTACTTTTTTGAAAATTAAAATTTTGCTGGATATTTTTATCAGACCTATGCAATAGTATGTAAAATTGTTGTTACAATAGTGGTTAATGATTTTTGTTACAACAGTGGTTAAATCGTTGTTACAATAGTGGTTAATGAATTATTACAACAGTGGTTGATTTTTGTTACAATAGTGGTTAATGTTACATTAGTGGTTGATTGTTGCATTAGTGGGTGATACAGGTGATAGGGCTAAGGTAAGGAAATTTATGATAGGGCCGGAAATGACACTTTCCGACTTCAATTTGATTATAATTATATTTTTTTCTCCATTTATTTCATAATTTTGGGGGCCCAGGCTGGCTCAACATCCCCCACCCCCTTGAATCTGCCACTGATTTTGTTTCACATGGATGATACTGTATCCCTTCCAGTTCAAGAATAAAAAAAACTTGTTTGTTTTTGTTTGTTTATTGATATTTTACACATACTAAACAATACAGAAACAAGATCAGAACCAAGAACTCCATTTTTTTTTAATTTGGCATATTCAAGTTATTCCTATTTGGCATATTATTTTTTGTTATTATATTTTTACGATTTATTATTTATCTTAAATGGTGGTCATATCCAAAAGATTGTTCTCAAACTTATTTGGACACCATCCACATACTTTATACAATTATTGTATTTTTTTTTTTTTTTAACTGAAATACTAGTTTTTTTCGATTAAGAAATAATTTGTTATATATTAGACCTATCTGTTAAACCATTAAATATTATCATCGAGCAATCAATCTGTGAGTGATCTTGGCCTCATCTATCATGTAAACTTAAGGGAATTTGATTTGAACACAATTTCCTCTCACTTTGGAAGCTTATAACTCAGGATTGGTAATAGCTATCAAAATCAAACTTGATATTCTAACTTACAGTACTTTCCACCATATTACACAAATATGGCATCAGATTAACTGTTATCCTTTATCTTTTGAAGTTATCCGCACTCAAAATAGCCACTTTGTTTAACTACGCAATTTTTTTGTGATTTTCGAGGTCACCCTGTGTCCATATGAGTGAGTGTATACATCTTATATTACAGATATATTATCTATGTGTAGTTGTCTCTAGCCACAAGCAAGCACAGGCTGATCAATTGAATTAAAATGGAATGGCATCCATTCAAAGTTGGGACCAGCCCTAAAAAAAGTGAAAAAAGCCTAAGTTACCCATTAACGGTTCGTCATGTGGACAGTTAAAATCTTTTCTTAAATTTACACCAGTTAATCAGATATATTAGATCTACTTATACCACAAATTTCAGCTTTGGTACTCAGCTCCTTCATGGTTAGATACTATATTGAAAACTACACATATTTTAACGTAATCAGAAATAACAAGTTTTTAAGAGTTGGGTCATTCCATGCATTGGGATCATAGATTTTAAAAATTTTTTATACTGACAGTTATTTATGTGAATTGAAAAACCTGAAATTTTTAGACTTCAGTTCCTGTTTGTTTTCCCGTAGCAGCAGTTTGATGTAAAAGGGGGCGTGGCACAAAATAGTGCGCCATGAAATTAACTTTGATTTTCGTATGCTAATATCTTCGGAAGTACAACACCTATAACCTCCAGATTTTGTGGTGTAGAACATCTTTTACTGCCGATTCCAAATCTGCAATCAGAAAAGTGGTAGCATGTACCGATTTGGAAAAGCTATGGTTTACAAATGGGACAAAAACCTGCCTTGACAAACTTTTTGCATTTTTGGAGGGCTATATCTGGGGAAATTTTAAAGTTTAGTTAAGTTTATTACTGTATATATAGGAAGCACTACTGGTTTGTTATGATTCCTAAAAATTTGGAGATTAAAAAAAGATTTACTTTTTGAGTTACGGCTACCTGAACAATGGTCCAGACACATATTTTAACATAATCGGAAATAACGAAAGTTGCTAGAGTTGGGTTATTCTATGCCATGGGTCTTAGATTTTATGCACACTGACAGATATTCATGTAAATTGAAAAACCTGGAATTTTGAGACTCCAATTCCTGTTAATTTTCCCGTAGCAGCAGTTTGACATAAAGGGGGTGTGTGCACAAAATAGTGCGCTGCAAACTTAACTTGGATTTTTCATATCCAATATCTTCGGAAGTTCAACGCATATAACCTACAGATTTTGTGGTGTAGAAAAGAGGTCTCTCTGAGTGTAGTTTTCTTTGTACAGTTTGTTGTGTTTATTATTGTTTATTTGCTTATATACTATTATTATTATTATTATTATTATTTAAAAATATAATTGGATTTTTTTTTTCACAGTGTAATTAACTCACTTGTGATGCCAGAACACAGCAAATCAGTAAAAATTTTTTCAACAGTGAAAAGAAATAAAATCTTCAAGCAGAAAACTTATATCAATACATTTGCCATTACATATTATGATGTATGGATATGAAATTCTGAAATATGATGAATGATAGAAGGCAAGAACGTAATATGCTTGATTATTATGTTATCTTTAATGGTGTGCAAACACACACTTGAAAAAATGAAAAGTATTGAAATGCATTTTGTTTCACATGGATGATACTGTATCAAGACAAGACAGATTCTGTGGTATCTAGTGACCAAAATTAAACCAAACCCTATTGACATGATGCCTCCTTGGAGACTTTGTCAATTACCAATCCAGATCCTATATCGCTTGTATCACCCACTATTTAACAATCAACCACTATTGTAACAACAATCAACCACTGTTGTAACATTAACCACTATTGTAACAAAAATCAACCACTGTTGTAACAAATGGAGGTTAATAATGGATGTGTGAGGTCAATGGTCATTAAAGCAAAATCATTTTCAAAATGATCAATTTTGCCCAATTTGTTTTCTTGGAAATTCTTCAACTTGCGTATGACAAGCAGCATAAAAAGAAAAAATAATAAATTGTTTTTATGACATTGGCATTGTGACCAAGATAATGTGGCATCAGCATGTACCATTAGAGAATACACTAACATGATCTATTGAAACCAAAATTCTATAATATTTGTTAGATTACATGTTTAATTAATTTAGTATATTTTATGTTGTTTGAGTTGCTACACGATGTAACATCATGTCCTTAATTCGATTTGATGATTTATATAAAATTTAACAGTGTTACTGTCATGCATTTGCCCTTTGAAATACACTATGCGTGGGGTATGAATCAAGCACAAAAGATACAGCCTCACAACATTGTGATCACAGTGTTCCGATAGTGGACCAACCACTCTTTATTTAATGCAGTGGTATATATATAGGTGTTGTCAAGTCTCAGTGAACACATATTGAATGCAGGTGTCAAGTACTTAACATTATCCCCTGCTAAACTTTATGTACATCAAACCACATTTTCTAATTTCAAAATATAAAATGTATTCAATAGACACAATAATCAGTAACAATGGGTCAATAAATTGTATAAAAATCATGAATAAATGTAATAATCAAGAATAATCATACACCACATATATTTCCCTCAATATATTATAATAATTAATAGTCTTTAATATTGAAATAATAATAAATGTCTTATATGTAGGTGAAGGACTTAAATTATATGGAAGAGAATTGTATTAGAATTTTATTATTATAATTATTTACTGTATGTTTTGTAGGGATTGCTTGTATTAATTAATAATATAATAATAGATAACTTAATCGTGGCAATTGTTAAAATATTAATTTTAATATTGAAATATATTCATGAAAAATCTACATTTAAATAATGCAAATGAAAAATGATATAAATATTGAATGTATAATTATTTCATAGCATTGTCAGATAAGGAGTGGCGAGAGCTAAAAACTGTTGTCTCACAGTGGTATGACAGCAACAAAAGTGTTCCTTTGCTGAAAGTGTTGTTCAGAGACAAGATGGACAAATACGAGCTATCACCAGAAACTTACACGATGGACCTGCTGAATATACTATTTAAACGTGGTCATCTGAGTTCACAGAATCTTGGACTTCTGTGTGATACTATTAGCATAACCAAACAGTTGGGACTTTTAACGAAGATTAAAGAAAAGCTGCCATCATTCCCAGACGTTGAGGAAGGAACCATTTCAAAAACTTTCACATCTCACAGACAAAGTCTAATGAAACTTGGAATGGTACTGACCCAAGCCAATGTGACGCAGATCGATCAATTGTATAATACGCCTCCTAAGAATTATACAGACGGCTGGAGTATGATCAACGATCTTGAAGACCAACAGATTATCAGGGAAGGAAATATGAAGGAATTCACTGATTCACTGAAAATTCTTCAACTCAGTTTGGCATTAAATGCATTAACAGAAGGTATTTATTCCTCCTGTTCATTAACTTATTTAATTAAGTTGTGCAGGTATAGAGTCAAATGCACTGAGATTAAACATTAAAACTGCAGTGTATTTAGCATAACAAGTATAATCCTAATTATTAATTATAGAGACCTTGGTTATCTGCGCAGTATAAATCTATTATTATTATTATTATTATTATTATTTAAAAATACAATTGGATTTGTTTTTTCACAGTGTAATTAACTCACTTGTGATGCCAAAACGCAGCAAATCAGTAAAAAAAATTTTCGACAGTAAAAAGAAATAAAATCTTCAAGCAGAAAACTTATATCAATACATTTGCCATTACATATTATGATGAAGTTCATTCGGCACCACTGTAGTTCTTACTCAAAAGACATCTGGGTAACACCAGGTATGTCAGTCGTCATCATGCCTGCAAATTTAATCTGTATCCATCAGTATCGAAACAATCATTTGTCACAATCACAATCCAGGAAGTTTGATCAAGACTGGCGTAATCTGACAGACTACCAAATGAAGTCAGGTGCAGGCTCCAGAGAAATAAAA